AACGACTGTTAATCTTTTGGAAAAATAGGAATGTGGGTTAGTCACGGGATGTTAATATATCTTTAAAATTAGCATAACAACATCATGCCTGCATTAAAAAAAGAGAAAGTATCACTGTTTAACACTGATGCTAAACAGCGTGTGAACAGTGGTATGTGTGATATTTGAAACACAAAGCATGGCATAATGGCACAAGGTGAGGCAGTGTTCACCACATGCCATTTCAGTCATTTCAAGGGTGTGATCCTTGGGATGATTGACAGCAGCTCTACCTGTGTGCGGAGCTCTGAAATGGTTTTGAAATGGGCACTCATGTCTTTGCTCTGCAGCGGCCTCTTGTTGTCGTAAAACTCCTTAATTTGCAGCTCAACTTTCTCGTTGGCCTGCTCTAAAGTGTGCACCTAAAACACAAAACACATGTGCGGATCTTCAGAAAATCATTAAAGATGAGACTAGGCGGAAGTTCAACACATAAATTCGAGGCTGAATGTAGCCGAATTGTTATTGTACAATCTTACATCATAGGAAATGCAGAAATATTAAGACTTGATTTAGAATTACAGAAATAAAGTTATTTGAATTTTTTGATTAGGCCTAAATATTTAGAATAAAAGCATTATAAATGATTATATGAAAATATGACAATAACTGTATCCACATACAGTAATCCAATGTTACTAAATAGTAAAATGAACAACCTTAGTACATTTTCCATTTTTGCCTTAAAGACAAACAAACAAAAAGCAACAACAAAAACCTTAATAAGAATTCAATAAAATGAACAAGAATATGAATTATAATGCATTGTTCCATCTATAACACAGAATGTAAACCTAGAATGCTATAACATTTACTTAAAAATAACTTTAGGGATTCTAGTCATGGCTTTTACAAGATAATATTTATTAAGTAAAATAATTTGATAGTTTTATTTTTTAAAGAGCTAATATATAAACAATGTTATTGTTATTGACTTATACACTAATTATACAAATATTTAAGTATATAATGTTTTTATAAATATGCGTTTTAAAAATCATTCATCAGTGTTCATTAGAAGATAAGATTTTTTAAATGTAATTTCTGTTACAATTTAACCAGGTGTGTTACCCGCTCCAGGTAAGATGCCAGGCGGTCATTGAGGTTCTGCATTGTCTGCTTCTCATTGCCATGCAGCGTGACCTCATAACCAGCCGTCGTCAAGGATGAAGTGGACAAAGATCTGGAGATGCGGCCACCAAAGCCCCCAGCGCTGCCATAGTTTTGTCCACCAAAAGACAAAGAGGCCCCTGAACTCCCCACTCCGTTCATGACCAGTGCACCAGAGGAAGATGACCCGAGCACACTCCGAGTGGTGAACGTCTTACTGCTGCGACGGACCGACATGGCTGAGTCAGAAGATCTGTGCAAGTTAGGATGTCCTTCAATGTCAAAACTAAACACCTAAACTAATTTGCACTAAAGATTGTCTTATATAACCCTGTTGCATCCCACACGGTGTCAGATTTCCAGTTCCAGTGAATAGATGGAATGTGAGTGAGACCCGCCTGTGCCCGGATGCTGATTAAAACCATTGACTTCAAAACCTGCTATCACACCCTTGACCTTCCAAAACCTGTAAAATGATTTGTGGCTTAGAGTGATTACATCTTTAACTGTTTAACTGGCGTATAAACTGATTGCTTGTATTGGACACATGCCAGTTCAAAATATTAACAGTGGCTTTTATGAAAAGTTATAACTTTTTCTTCTTTTAAATGCAGCCATTAATTATACACATACATGTGACACATCTTAAACCCATTTTCAGATGTTTATTTATTTTGTGGATTCACCACAACATTCATCAGGTTTTGCTTTGGCATTTAGGTAATATGACAAAAATTGTTCTCTCTCAAGCTTGGAACAAAAACACACTCAAATGCCATGCATCGAAACAATAACCATCACTCATGATGAATGGATTCATGTGTCAGAATGAAGTAAAAACACATCTCTTAAGTACATTTCCCCCATCAGTAGCCTAATGTCACCATCTCTTGAAACGTACAGATGTAACCCCTGATAAAACGGATTAGCTGGTAGAGTTGACAGAGAGGGGATATAGCTGTTGACGTTTTAAAAATGGGTGAATGGTAAAATTCATAGGAAATCAATCATGCTTTCAAACTATTTTGACTTCTACTGTCAGAACTTGCATGCAAATTCATGAGGCTCGACCCATTTCAAAGAAAGTATTTCACTCGGTGGATTTTTACTTGTAAAAGCATGTATCCCCTTGGTAGATTTCCAAAATCTGTCACTTAAATGCATCTTTCTTTTGAGTAATGAAAATCATTTGTCTAGAGTGTCATTTTAAAAATGCTTTAAATATATTTTTCAAGGTAAAATATATTTATGGTATCATTTCCTGTTTTTTTTTTTTTTTAATCTTTCCATGTTGCTTAGACCACATGATTTTGATTTTGCAGACACAAGCTTTTTAAATATTAATAGTGAAAGCGATTCTGTTCAAATATTTATTAGTTCACCTAAATAAAAACTCTGCCATCATTTACTCTCCCACGAGTCGGTCCAAACCTGTATGACTTTCTTTCTTCCGTGGAACATAAAAGAAAATGTTTTATGCAATGAAATTCAGTGGTAACCGAAACTGGTTACTGATATTCTTCAGAACATTTTCTTTTGCCATACATGTTTGGATTGACGTAAGACTTTCAGTTTGTTCTTCATTCTTGTAATAAGGCTTTTAATTTCAGAACAGGCATTTCATCCTGACATTTCTTACTTAATGCTCCCCAAAAAAAATATCAAAATGAAATTTGATGCTCATACAGAAATGGTTTGCTTCAGTCATTAAATGAGAACTGAATATTTAATGTGTTTTCCACAAATTCATAGATTGGATGAAATGTGATTGCCATTATATCATCATTAACCAATGCTAAAGATATGGAAAGGGGGAAAATGCTCGAATCGAGCAGCATCTGATGTCATATACCTTATAGACCATGCATTCAACGGTGGACTGGCAATTGTTTGTTCACCTCAGACTCACACGATAGCATAGGATTGAGTTCTTGAGTAAAATCTTTAGATACATAAAACTAATGGTCCTGAGAGGAAGCAACAGACTCCTCCTCGGCAATAAAATCAAAAGTTTTGCGTCACAGCCTTTCTCCACCAGTTCATTTGAATCAATAATGACAGTTTTAAAAAGGTCACATTGATTTCACATCATATAATATTACAAGAGGACAATTGATTAGATGAGAACTTGGATGCTGACATGAATAAAAAATCCACTGCTAATTCCTTTTTACAGGTCAAATTCATTTTAATGCTGTTTCCCATTATTTAACCGAATGTTAAATTCTCATCAATAACCACTGAATTTCACATGTTCAGTTTACTGCCATGTCTGACGTATTCTGTTTAAACATGCTCCTCCTCCTGAACAATTATCCAACTCCATTGATTCACACCTTTTTTCTTTTTTTTTTTACCTGAACATTTAAATATAAAGGGACTGACCTGTAATTTTGGATTACAAAGTTTTATCCTTACACTGTTGAAAACCTTTCTGGCTCAGGACTAATCAGGTAAATCAAATTTTTCTTAAATATCCATGCTTAAGAAATCATCTTGAAAAATTAAATGTTTATTTGATATTGTAGGTAGTCTAAACTTGTCTTTAGCTGATTCTTTAGTCTAAACTGGTCTTTCTGATTCTTTAGCTGGTATGAAGCTGGCAGACCATCTTGAATCAGCAATGAACAAGCCACCAAGTGGTCATTTTAGCTGGTTTCAGTTAATAACCAGCCTGAATCAGCTAGAAACCGTGTACCATTTTCCAAATCTGTTTCATGCCAACATCTTAAATTGGATGTCCA